TCCCGGCGGCCGAGGGCTTGGCGGCCGCGCGCTGCTTTCTGGGGGCGTTGCACCCCTTACCACCCACGAGGTGGTCCGCCGGCAACTTAGCGTGCGAGCAAAGCGGGCAGTGGGGGGCGCCGGAACACGACGCCGCATTATGCCCGGGCTGCCCGCAGCGGAAGCATAAACCGCTGCAGTCGACATGGGCGGAGCATTGCTGCCCCGTGTGCCCCTGTCCCATGCAGCGGTAGCACCGCATGGGGCGCGGCTCGAGCACCTGTACTCGGGCCGAGCTCCACCCCACTTGGAGGCGGCCTGCCGCCATAAGGGCCTTGGCCGCCACCACCGGACAGCTTGCCCAGACGGAGCCAGAACCCCTGGCCCCGACTGTTTTCCGACCCACTCGGACCTGGTCCGGAGGGCAGCTTGCCCTAGCGGCAATCGCCGCCCGGACGTCCGCCTCAGACGCGGAGTCGTCGAGGCCCACGATGCGCAGTTCTGCGCATTTCGTCGGCCGATTGACACGGACGCCGTCGTCGGCGAGTGCCGCCCTCAGGGAAGCCGCGAGCAGGTCTGCCTTCGGGCCGCTCTGCGCGCCGGGCAGCTCGATGATCCGAGCGCCAGTCACGGCCGTCCTGAACCGGCAGCCCCCAGTGATGCCGAGCTCCTCCAGGTTGACCCGCTCGCGCGCCTTTGTTAAGACGCTCGAGTAGGTCAACCCCGACTCGGCGGCCTCCGGTTGCAGGGTCAAGACCACCGCAGCAGATTTCGGCACGCGCAGCTTTGGTGCTTTTTTCCGCCGCGGAGGCCCCGACGCGTTCGCGGCCGCCGACTTTTTGGTTTTCTTCTTCGGCTTCTTCTTCTTGCCTACAACCGTGGTCCACCCCTCTCCCGAGGAGGTGGTGGGACCAGCCGAACGCCGCGGGGAGGGCGCGGTGCTCGCCGGAGCGCCGGCAGGGCCGGCAGGAGGAGGTGCCGCTCGTGCGTTCCTTGCGGGCTGCGGGGCCGGCAAGGCTCGGGCAGCCTTTGCCGGGCGATTTGCCGGCTTGGGAGCAGGGCCGGCCGCCGGGCCAGCCGCCACCGCGACATAGGACGGCCTTGATGTGGCCGCCAGCGGTGGACGCATGATCCTTGCGGGCATGAGGCGATCCTCAATACCCGCGAACCTGGCGTCCAACATCTTGCCCACCCGGTCGATGACACTACGTCTCACCGCCTCTAGGTGAGTCTCCTCCGAGGCCGACGAGGCGGATGGAGCCGCCCGGACCCTCTCCAACTCGGAGTTTAGAGCCTCCGTATTCCTACGGAGGACTGCTACCTCCGCCCTCATCTTGTTGAGGTCAGCCTGCAATTGGAGCGTCTCCTCCGTGACGCTCCTTCGCGCGAGGCCCTCCACTGCCGTGCGCACGCACTCCACAGCCTCCTTGATGGCCTTTGTGCAGGTCCCCTTGATGTTCTTGGACTTGCGAAACCTAACCTAACCTAACCTAACCTAACCTAACCTAAAAAAAAAATAATAATAAAAAAGAAAAAAAAAAATAAAAAAAAAAAAAAAAACAATGTGCAACTGTGAGCTCATGCTAGGTTAAGACTAGTTTAAGTATAGTTTATAAGTTATAATAAAGCCTCTTAGTCCGAGGGGATTTCGTTTACTGTAATTAAATTTAAGAAAACAATGTAAACAATTTATTAAAAATATTAAAAAAGAGCGCGGACGCCTATGTCTGCGGAAGAAGTTCATTTATAAAAAAAAAAAAAAAAAAACCTAACCTAACCTAACCTAACCTTTTTTTTTTTTTTTTTTTTTGACCCTGGGAAAATACTTTATGTATCATCCTCCCGTGGGGGGACGGGAGGGATATGTGGGACTCTCCGGAAGAAGCCCGGCATACCCACTAAAAACCCAGGAGCACACCAGCGTCGCCATGTGAGGGGGGGTCTGGGAGACCGGGTGAACCTTTACGACCAGGACCCCCTCGGCTAGGCCTGCCAAAGATGGCGGGCTATATCACGCCCCTCCCTGTGTCGGGGAGGGGTCTCGGGAACGGTCGTGTGCCAACCGTTCCCGTCCCGCGAAAGGTGAATAGTGCAATGCGGATGTAGGCGCCCCCGCGCCTACCACCCGCTATTCACCCCCGGGAGGGCGTTGTATTGCCGTCTTCTCCTACCGACTCTACGTCGTCGAAGCGCAGGGGCGAGGGCATCTTCCTCCCTCTCACGCTCTGCCGCCTCCTTTTGCGATATGACGCATTCGCAGAAGGAGGCGACCGCCGCCCATGTTTCCTCACTCCCCAACATTGCGCGTACTACGCAGGGGAGTGAGAGGTCTTGTCCGACCGCGACTATAGAACACGCCTGTTGACAATTAATCATATTTTTTTTTTATTCGCTGAAATTTTGTAATAATGATTTTGTAGTATAACATTCTAAAATGTAATTATAAATTACATGAGTACAAATTAGAATTTACGGAATGTTCCCATACCCATGTAGATAAGTGATGTCATAACGAGTGTCAGATTGTATTGAAAGAATCGTGTTACTCGACACCGATTAACAATAACAACTGCACTTTGGTTTTGTCTTAGGAAATAAATAAATTAGATGAATGAAATTTGATATTAGGTAGGCTTTGGAATGTGTTCATTGTTTGTATAAGTACGTAAGTTTGGTTTTTAAGTAGTTCGGAATGACTTGGTAAACAAGTTTTGGCGTATGACTGAGGGCTGATCACCTAAGGACAACGTAATATTTTGTCGACCAAGCTATTTAATTGGATTGTGTTTATGTTAGGTTTGATAGTTGAAGGATAAGTTAATAATAAATATAATAGGTACACATGGTAAGGTACAGTTTAGTGTTCATGTCCTTAGTTTGATCATGGTGTAGACGAGCTCTCTCTGTGAAAATTATTGGAGGTCAAAAGAACCTTAAATATTGACACTAAATTTTAAAATGAATAAATAAATAAAGTAAGCACAAAGATAAATAATAATGAAATGATAAAGATATGAGAAGATATAATGAAATAAATGAACAGGTACCGGAGAGTCCTGTATAAATGTAATGTGCTTACACGTGTAGGTATAATGTTATTGTGTACCTTACGATGATAGAGAAAAGTTTTAAATAAAATATATTATGTGTACCTAGTTATAAAAGATATAGAGGTTTAGGGTAAAGGTAAATAATTCATGATAATAAAGAAGAATAAATATGTAAGAGGCATAAATTGATAACAGATTTTAATAAATATTTTGTAACAATTGCCAACAGTGCGAATAATTTTATATAAAAATAATTTTACAGTTGTATCTTAAAAAAAATCTATTAGAATATTTTTTTTTCAAAAAAACATGGGAGGTGTAGTGTGTGTAACACCTCGCCCTATAAGTAAGTAGCGTAAGATAGCTAATAAGACACTTAATTAAAGATATTCCTAACAGTAACACGTCTCCCTCATTGCTCCACATTGCAAGACAAAAGCACTCTATCATTGTGTCTTCCGGCGACGCAATAGAGACCAGCGGCGATGTTGTGGGTCGAGACCGGCGCTGAACGCGAAGGGGAGCGGCCTTCAGGTGGAAAAGGTCCGAAAAGACAAGGACCAGAGGGTGACCAAATAAAGTATGAAACAAATAAATAGATAAATAGAATAAGAACTATGTAATAGAATAAGTCCAAACAATAATGAAATAAGAGTAAGAAACAATAGCATTAGGAAATCGAAATATATTGTATAAGTATGAAAATAAACAAAAATAAGCAACCTTCCTTATTACCCCAAAACTAATAAAAAGAATAAAAATAAGGCAAAATTAGAAGTAGGGAAGTGGGAGTCCCACCCGCTAAAAAAGTGAAGAGGATGTACGAAAGAAAGATACAGTATAAAGCATAAAAGTGCGAGAGGCATACAAGCGAGAACTAATATGAAAGTGAAATAGATTCAAATAGGCGCCAATAACGTTGGCGGAGATAGTGCAGAGAGGCAAAAAAAAAAAACCTAGCCTAACCTTAAATGACCAGCGGGGGGTGGAAACGGCTAAACTATTAATGCACTGCTTCCCACCAAAAAAAAAATATGACTACTATTTGTCTATTTATTATTGAAAATAAATGAGGGCGCTACAGGTCTTTAGTACCAACAAAAATCCAAAACTAAATTATTAAATGTACTTGTAACTCCTCTGGTGCTGCGGGTGTCCATGGGTGGCGCTGATCGCTTACCATCAGGTGATCCGGTCAGATGACTGGACAGACAGATTTTTTTATCGAATAGGAGGCAAACGAGCTCGTTGCCTCCTATTCCATAAAAAAAATCTGTTGATGCAAAGTTACTAACTAGCGCCTCTAGTGTCAAAATTGTGAAGCTGTCTATGAACGACACTGATAGTTTTACGTCGCAGAATTCATTTATTAAATATAAATCAGATTTATATGGTTTCTTGTGTATAAATGTTTAAGAGAATTGCAAAATTAATCAAATGTTATAATAATTATTCAATTACATAATTTCCTCAACTCACATCATTACACACAAATTTAATCCTATATTCTTTATCCTGCTCGGCCATAAGATGCACTTATTTCAGTTATTAGGCCAGAAGGAGTTATTCCAATATTAAACTTCGCTGTATTGTTTTTTTAATATTGACACGACTTTAATATTCTACATTTTAGAATATGTACATTTTTTAATCACAATCTAATATTAGTCTTATATTTTTGGAATATTTTAGGTATGTACCTGCGTATCATTTCGCTATCAGGCCAAGGAATTACAACTTTGCAACAAATATTTATATAGAAGAAACCACATAAATCTGATTTATATTCAGTAAATCATTTTTTCTTTGACGTAATACGACATATTATATACGAGTGTCATTCTTAGACAGCTTCACAATTTTGACACTAGAGGAGCTAGGAGCTTAAAAAAAAAACAAAAAAAAAAGAGGAGCAAGTTAGAATCTTTGCATCGCCAATAGATAAGCTGGGGATAATAATCTATGGTATGAATGAAAGTAAATGTCAATGTCGTCAACTCAAATACGTCAAAGTCAAATGCAAAAATGTCATTAACACGTTGCTTAACGGTGGTGTCGGTTCCGGTTTGTTTGTCGATATTGAGACGAACATTGGTGACGGGCAGTGCGGATTATTCGCGGACGTGTAGTACTAGTGTCACCAGTTCTACTGCTAAACCACTCCGAGCAACAGACACGATGTACATCGCTGAGGAACGTGGATCGGCTTATGCACCAGATTACCGTGTGTTTTTCAGTAAGTAATCCAGCCATACATCCGGGTTACCTAGTGTAACTTCTCACATTTAAAGACACATGCGTAAACAATTATTCTTATCTTCTTTTACTTTTTAATATTTTGTGAAATCGTTACAAACGAACTTTGAACTTTTCTGTCACTTGTGTTTTGTTACTGTCACGTCTGACTCGTCATTTAATTATTTTTTTCCAAAATAGTTAATTTTGCTAATAATTACCTATGTCCATGCAAAGTGTAGCGTCTGATGTGTAACCTACAGCTTTTATCCTTGAACTTTTAGCTGCTATCTATTTAATAATAATGGCAAATCTACTTGTAACGTAATCAATATACTTTATACCTAGATCATGAAAGTGTGAATAGATTTAGAATTAGTTGTATTTATTGGCTCTGTTAATTTCTATTATGTAGCATGGAAATTAAATTATCAGATAAGAAAAGATAATGTAAATATCCGTATGATAAGACTGCAGTCAATATGTTGCTACTTATCTAAGTAATGTTTGACATTGCTTCTATATGCTGTAACATTACTTTCAAATCTATTGTTGGGTATTACTCAAGGTTGCTCAGATAAATATTTCTCAAATCCACCTTCCCATTGTTATTTCAATTATTTTCACACATAATAAAAATATTGTTAATCTATGATAATATGAAAGCAGAAGAGTGGGTTTGTTTAATTTAATAATCCTTTTTGTGTTGGATAGTCCACTTATCGTGGAAGTACACTGGCTATAAAGGATCATGTTTCAATCAATAGGAGCCGAGCGGTGGGTGCAATCCTGTGGGAGTAGCTATTAATTAATATACAATAGATTAGATCTGGAGTAAATTATAACAACAATTATCTCATTGTATTAGCGTACTAGTTGGACCGTGAAATGGGGGTGTTTTGGAATATAATCATAGAATCCCATCAATAATAATTTGAAGCACTGCTCCAACTGCAATAAACTTTTAATATTTTTAATGCTATATCTTATATTGTATATACAGGTGTCCCTGGAGTCGACTATCAAATGACATAGGGTGATCTGCAAGGGGTTCAGAGGGTTATCAGAAAATGTAAAAAAAATCTTAGTCATGTTTTTTACAACAATTTATTTAGTATTACTTTAATTTAGTCTAATGTCACCAAAGCGCACCTGAAAACCCCGTATCCAGTAGGTAACCTTTGCATGTGACATGACATTATCATGGTGGAAATCAGCGAGGATCTCTTGTTAAACCACATTGTGGGTCTACTCATATTTCACTCGTAGCATTTGTCGACAATATTGTTGCTATAGGTACTCTAGAGGTATAGAACAGGTTGCTATATGATTCCATAATACTGAAGCATTACTCAGGATAATGTATGCAAACATACAGACGAAAAAATAAAGACTGTAGCAGCATGAGTAAAAACACTGTTTTCATACTGTTTCGTGGATAATGCATAATTCATTGTAATTTAAAATGAATAAGACTTGGATAGTTTTTATATTTTTCTGGTAACTGTTAGGACCTTGCCTATCACCTGGTACCATTTGATCGTCGACTTCAGGGACACCCTGTATGTCATAATAATACATCACAAAATAACATCAATACAAAAAAGCACAGCCATGCCGTGCCTGTGTTACTGTGCGCCATGTCCGCACACGGTAACGTCACAGTCGAAACAATATTTTATTATGATTATGTTTAGACTTGTGGCACCCTGCGGTTTGGCCATGAATGTAGAATTGACAGAATGTAATTGGAGTGATTGTATTCGATAATCACGTACTACGAGGTTACTAAAGTCGTTTACTTAGAATAGTGAAATGTTTCCGCGATAACTTATCACATTACTGTCACGTGTTCTCTGTGAGCAATGCTTGAGAGACTGTATAGTCCATACAGCATCAATACATTGATAAATTATAATTTAATAACTAGCTACTTCCGCGCGGTTTCACCTGCCCTACTCGGCGCGACGGTGCCTATTGATGTTTTATAGTATACTAGCTTTTACCCGCGGCTACGCTCGCGTCACAAAAAGAAATGAAAATCCAATGTGACATATACGAATACACACAGCGCCATCTATACCAATACTTTTGTTTTCCCTCGGGAATATCAAATTTTTACGGGATAAAAGTACCCTGTTATTTAATCTGGACTTCTAACTATACATCTGCAAAAATTCAAAGCAATCGGTTTAGTAGTTATGGCGTGAAAGCGGAACAAACAAACAAACTCACTTTCCGATTTATAATATTAGTAAGGATATTGCCTATAGCCTTCCTCGATAAATGGACTATCCAACCCAAAAAGTATTTTTCGGATCGACCCTGAGATTAGCGCGTTCAAACAAACAAACTCTTCAGCTTTATACATATGTATAATATAGTATATAATATAACGTCGTGGTGATGTGCTCCGGCATAGAATACCCGAAGGTAAAACACGGCCGCTTTACATGCATGAGGGTGCAAGTTCGAACCGTCATATTGGTACTTGGCAGCCAGTACTAATATGACTTTTGCCGAGTTATATGTAACTACTTTTTAAAAGATTATTTAGACACCACTGACAAACTGTAAAGGAAAACATCGTAAGGAAAACTTATAATTTCTAAATAGACTTTGAAATCCCAATCCTTATCCGCGTGACACGAGGTGTTTGGTCAGCAGTGGTCACTCTTGACACACCAGGCTGTGGATGATGATGATGATGATGAAGAGTCTGACACTCCCTCTCGCCCCACCCAAGGCGGAAGGAGTCATTAGAGTTTTCCCTCCTTAAGGCCCATTCACGCAGAAGCATGACTCCTATGTGATAAATTGATATAGTTAATTAACCGTTTACAGCACCTACCTAGTTAATATTAATAAGGGCATAGTTTAATAAGGTTACCAATAACATAGTTTGTGGTTACAGAGGATGAAAGCGGACCGATATCGCCCCTGCACGACATCCCCCTGTGGGCGGACAAGGAGCGGCGCCTAGTGAACATGGTGGTAGAAGTGCCGCGCTGGACCAACGCCAAGATGGAGATCTCCCTCGGCGAGCCACTCAACCCCATCAAACAGGATGTGAAGAAGGGCGCGCTGCGCTTCGTGAGCAACGTGTTCCCGCACCGCGGCTACATCTGGAACTACGGCGCGCTGCCGCAGACCTGGGAGAACCCGCATCACGTCGACCCCGGCACGCAGGCGCGCGGCGACAACGACCCCATCGACGTCATCGAGATCGGGGAGCGCGTGGCGGCGCGCGGCGACGTCTACCCCGTCAAGATCCTCGGCACGCTCGCGCTCATCGACGAGGGCGAGACCGACTGGAAGCTACTGGCCGTGGACGCGCGCGACCCCAACGCCGACAAACTGAACGACGTGGCCGACGTGGAGGCATTGTTCCCCGGCCTGCTCCGCGCCACCGTGGAGTGGTTCCGCCTCTACAAGGTGCCCGATGGCAAGCCCGTCAACGTCTTCGCCTTTGACGGTGAGGCCAAGAATGCGGACTTCGCCTACAAGGTCATCGACGAGGTCAGTTACATTCACAATACACCACTCGTGTATTCGTGACGTCACAGTCTTTCTCAAACTTAGTCTAGTCAAATTCAGGGTGAGGAGTAAAATTAGATACTCTACCTAGACACCATTTTTAACAATTTATGTCTACCTCGTGTGTTCATAAGTTTTGATTTCATAAGTATCTTTTTAAATAATAAACTTATATTTATAAAAACAATAATAAACATTAAGTAGATATACAGTAGTATTCTGTTGACTGAAACGCGCGAAATATTGGTCTGCAGAGCGAGTTTCTTCTGAGTGCGACATGGATTTCGGCGAAGTCGCTCTCGGATGATTTTAATGTTCGCAGGCGTCCTCACAGAGCGTGGACGACCACTTCTTTGCCGATCATGTAAAGAACTTGTGTCCTGGTATCGTTTAATAGTGTAATACACGAAGTTACGGCTCACACCAAAACTTTTCAGTTCTCAGAAAATGTCCATAGGTTTTCTTCCCACCTTAAATAATGAAATGACGGTCGCACGTAATTCTTTTGTTCCCTCCATTACGAGAAAATTTAAATAAAATAATCCGAAATCATAGATATTAAAAGTTAACATTCCAAATTCAAAATTAGAAAAAGAAATATACAGCAGCCAGTAATTTTTATTTTATTTTTATAAGCAAAAAGTTTGTCTCAAAACTTATGAACACACGAGGTAGATAGCTTTCTTGTAAAATAAGTAGTTTTTTGCGTTAGAGCACAGCTAAGTACATTTCATTGAGCATTTGGAAAGAAAATTAATTTCCACACCACTTGGAGGCAGAGCAAGCGGCTAATTTAGTTTAGTCCTTTATAGGCCTAATGCTCACGTGATTGTGATACATACTGTCGAAACTTGGCCTAATCTCCTGCCCGTAGCTAGTTCTGATTCCCCAGTAGCCGCAATCGAGACGTCGCAGACCATTTGGCCCGCATCATGTGCGATGTTATTTTCAAGCACTTTTATTTTAACATATCGATTGATCACGAGATCGCGACTTCTGGATCATCAGCTAAGGGCAGGAGATTATGCCAAGTTTCGGAAATATGTATCACGGTCACACAAAATGCCTGCATAAGGCCTATAAAAGACAACACTACAAAAATAGATGCGCAAGCGCATTTTACTAATAGGTATCTACACACGGCCACACATCCATCTATACAAAACCAGTTTATCCTGGTGTCGCGTCGCATCATCTTTCCGCACATTTAACGTTCAGTTTATACTGGTTATGTAAAGCTCGATGTGTAGCCGTGTGTACATACATTATTATCATTTAGTTAAAATAAGAGTACCTATATTTTTTGTATTCGAATTTTGGTGTATATTATACCTATTTGTAAGATGCTAAACATGTATTGCACTAAAATCTCATAAAATCTTGTGGCTGTTATTTTTTTTATGGCATAATGCGTAAACGAGCGGACGGAACACCTGACGGTAAGCAATCGGCGCCGCCCATGGACACCTGGAACACCAGAGGCGTTACAACTGCGTTACCGGCCTTTTGTGGATTAGGAGTTTGAGGATCGTTGAGGATTCAGGGATTGGGGAGGAATACTTCGAAAACGGTTTCATTCCTGAATGGGTATTATTAGTTTTGTATTGTAGGTAGGTATATTATTAGGAATTTTTTATTTCCTACAAACTTTGTCTTATAAATTATGCGCTCAACTGTTTTTTATATATAGATTTGATCGGAGTCAGCGATCAGCCAGTAGTCCAGACCCGTAGTGTGTATGTATGTAGTGGTACATAAGTGCAAGCAAAATGATTGTAAGTGAATAAGTCGGGAGTGACGCGAGTCGATGTCGTGTGTGCAGGTGCACGAGTTCTGGCGCTCGCTGGTGGCGGGCGACGTCGCCGACGCGACCGACATCAACAAGTAAGTTTGGGTGTTTGCTTTACACAAAGTGCTTATTTATTTCAACTAAACCATACCTGCAACATTATTCGGCGGGTCAACTTAATAAAATATATCGCAGTTGCTTGTTACCACCGACCATCTAGGTAGCATTTATTTTAAGTGATGGCTAAGAACGTAAGCATGGTATCGATATGTCACTTTTATAAACTCGCATAGGATTGTAAACAGAGATAAATTATTTAAATATAATATTTAAATGATATAAATAAGATACAAAGACACCTTTTATTTTACGGACACATTTTCAGAAATTGATTGATTTTAAACTTTATTCAACTTCATAATTCAGAATGTAAGAACGATGCGGAGCACTCTGGTTTGGATGGGTTAGGTTGGAACTGTGACCCTTCACGCCACATCAAATGTACAAATGTTGTAGATTGGCTGTATAAGGCTAGAAGACATCACGCAGCAGAGCTAGTATGACCGCTGGAGTAGCTACATAGTCGAAGTGACGGAGGTTCATGGTAGTTTAGTCTGTAGTAGGGCATGCAAAACCGGAAAGTTATCAAAACCGGTTTTGAACATCGTTTTTTGGGACTAAAACCGAAAACCGGAGTCAAGTCCCGTTTTAGCAATAAAAAACGAATCCTTACTATTATAATATTATAAATCGGAAAGTGAATTTGTTTGTTCCGCTTTCCGCCGCGCCGCGTTCCGCCGTAACTACTAAACCGATTGCTTTGAATTTTGCAGACGTAAAGTTAGAAGTCCGGATTAAATAATAGGGTACTTTTTATACCGAAAAAAATTGATATTCCCGATTGAAAACAAAAGTGTTGGTATAGATGGTGCTGTGTGTATTGGTATATATCACATAAGCTACTTTTTATCCTTTTGTGACGCGAGCGAAGCCCCGGGTAAAAGCTAGTGTAGTATAATTTAAAAGGGGAGGTGTCCTGGTGGCGAATATGCATATGCGGACTTAAAATGAGTTGGGGAGTGCACGAGCACTCAAAGCGTGTGTATGTGCGCAGGATGAACGTGAGCGTGGAGGACAGCCCGGAGCGCGTGGAGCGCGGCGAGGCCAGCGCCGTGCTCAGCAAGGCGCCGCCGCGCGGCCTGCCGCAGCCCGTCCCGCCCACCGGTACGTACAGCCGCTGGCCGGCCCAGCCAGCGCGCGCTGCCGGCGGGACTAACCGTGTGTTTGCTTGCAGTGGACAAGTGGCACTACATCTCCAACCTGTGAGCGCGCGTGTGTGCGTGCGTGTGGTGGTGTGGGTGACGCGGACGCGGCGCGCACTCTGTGGCTGGCTCCGGCTCGTGCTGCAGATTGCATTGTGTCATACTATATTTATTGCGCTGTCCCTATATTTAAGTATTGAATCACATCTAGTGTATATTTATAATGCTCGATTAAATTTAATATCGGTTTAATTGATTATTATTTACTTTATTTTATTAAATAAAGGTCCCCAGGAATACACTTGACCACGCGAATAACATTCCAATAAAAAACCTTCCTCAATTATAGGAGGCTACATTATGCAAAATATCTTAAAAATATACCTACATAAAGCTCAAAAGTGTAGGTATGCTAAAAAACTAAAAATTAAACTTAGTAAAGTTACGTTAAGATCTCATTGGCGGTAGCACGTGCATTGGATCCCTGAATTCCCTGCAATATGGTTGATTTGGTCGATGCTGGTGTACGTGTTATGTTCGGGAACGGGCGCCCTCAACTGGGCCTGGTCTACTCTAGACTGCGCAATATTTATTGTCGTTAAGGTTATTTTATCGAGAGGTGAATAGGAACAGAAGAGGGGTGAATAGATTAAGGAAATTCTTCATAGTATCGATTCACCCCTCTTCTGTCCCTTTTCGCCGCTCAAACCCCATTCACCCCATTTTACCGTAACTGGAGAATTGTATTGTGAACCTGATTGAAAACCTATGAAGATTTTTGTTCGTTTTTCTCCATAGAGGAATCTGCACCTTGGGATGAGCAAATAGCTTCACTTTTAATTTTTTGTTAACGTTCAAAAGCTTTCTGGTCTAATTGAAATAAATGATTTTGACGTTGACTTAGAACAATAAAAAAACCGACTTCAAAAACAAATGACAAACAAAAAGTAAAAACTAAAAAGGAAAAAAAAAACTATTATTGGTCATACGTACTTATAGCTTACACACCCACTGATAGGTTAGAAGTCGGTGCCACAAGTTTTAAACAAAATTATTCATTAAAACCTTAATAGATACCTAATATTATTGAGCTGTTTACAATTTTATTATGGATTATACCAGCTGTGACTTTTGTCTACTTTATATTTTATTGTGGGTTTGTGGCACCGACTTCTAACCTATCAGTGGGTGTGTAAGCTATAAGTACGTATGACCACTAATAGTTTTTTTTCCTTTTTAGTTTTTACTTTTTGTTTGTCATTTGTTTTTGAAGTCGGTTTTTTTAAACGCAGTTTTTTAATTTTATTTTATACTTTTTAGTTTAGTACTTTGATATATTATATTATACAAAACCCACATGCAAAGTTTTCATCAATACAAATTATGCAAGTTCAAACACCGGGTGGGTACTCTTAACCATTGAGAAGTCCCTTAGCTATCATACTACTTCGTCATTGGACCTTTAATGACCATCACCCCCCCCCCCCCTCCATCTAGGTGTAAAGTCCTCATCAATACAAATTAATCAAACCTAAACACAAAATAGCTACTGTTAACCGTTAAGGAGTTCACTCAACTATTGGACTACTTCATCATCAGACCCTTATTGACAATTACACCGCACTCAGGTGTAAGATCCTCATCAATACAAATTAATCAAACCCAAACACAAAATACCTACTGTTAACCGTTAAGGAGTTCCCTCAACTATTGGACTACTTCATCATCAGACCCTTATTGACAATTACACCCCACTCAGGTGTAAAGTCCTCATCAATACAAATTAATCAAACTCAAACACAAGGTAGCTACTGTTAACCGTTAAGGAGTTCCCTCAACTATCGTACTACTTCATCATCAGACCCTTATTGACAATTACACCCCACTCAGGTGTAAGGTCCTCATCAATACAAATTAATCAAACCCAAACACAAGGTAGCTACTGTTAACCGTTAAGGAGTTCCCTCAACTATCGTACTACTTCATTATCAGACCCTTATTGACAATTACATCTCACACAGGTGTAAAGTCCTCATCAATACAAATTAATCAAACCCAAACACAAGGTAGCTACTGTTAACCGTTGAGGAGTTCCCTCAACTGGCTCTCGGCTCCATCATCAGATCGGCTCCAGACCTTTATCAGATTGTAGTGGTTTTTAATACTTAATGAAAAAATTAACAAATGCCCTAGTCAAACCCCTATAATTTTTAAAAGTTCCCCTCGGTTTCCCTGGTCTTCCATCATCAGATCCTGATTTCCTTATCATGGGACCATTCTGAAACTATCTCCTTTCTAACAAAAAAAGAATTTTCAAAATCGGTTTATAAACAACGGAGATATCGGCGAACAAACATAAAAAAAGCATATATACGGTCGAATTGAGAACCTCCTCCTTTTTTTGAAGTCGGTTAAAAATACAAACAAAAAAGAAATAATGGCACACGTCAAATATAGAGCACAATATAATCAATCAGACATATTCAAACATATTGAAATCAAATAACATTATTAGTACGGTTTTAAAGTCCGGCAAGCTTTAAACACGTCTCGGAGACGCGTTTTAATATTTATAACTTTGAAGATAAAATTATTATTATGTATGTATGTACATTCAGTCAAAAAAGTATCGGGAATGGATGATTTGTATATGGTTCCAAATTCAAATTTTTGTTTTTTTGTAGTTGTTAGATTGGCACAACTGTTTTCCATTTTGGCGCGGAGTTTGAGTTGCATCTGTTATTTATCCTTATCCTTACTAATATTATAAATCGGAAAGTGAGTTTGTTTGTTTGTTCCACTTTCACGCCGTAACTACTAAACCGATTGGTTTGAATTTTTGAAGACGTGAAGTTAGAAGTCTGGATTAGGGAAAACGAAATTATTGGTATAGATGGCGCTGTGTGTATTTGTATATGTCACATAGGCTACAGAACAGAAGGCTTACGGTGAATCGACTTTATCAAAAACTCGTGCTTATCAGTGGTTCAAAGCGTTCAAAAGCGGTCGAGATGTGATGGAAGATTTGCCTCGCTCTGGTAGTCCGTCAACGTCTGCAACTGAAGTTAACATCGCAAAAGTGAAGAAAATAGTAACTGAAAATACCCATTCAACTTTGAGAGAGATAGCTGCCGAACTTTCTGTATCTCACGAGTCGATCCGTACCATTTTAACTTATCATTTCGGTATGAAACATGTTGCTGCTCGGCTAGTCCCAAAAGATCTGAATTTTCTCCAAAAACCCAATCGCATGAAAGTCGATGAGGACATGCTAAAACGAGTCAGTTCGGAGTTCGAACCCAACATTCATGAAACGCATTGTTACTGGTGACGAGACGTTTGACATGCAAACTAGTCAACAAGCTTCGGAGTGGCGCCTTCCAACTGAACCGAAACCGAAAAAACCACGCCAAAGTCGATCAAAAGTCAAAGTCATTTTGACTATTTTCTTTGACTATCGCGGTTTTGTGCACTCTGAATTCTTACCGAAAGGTCTAACGGTAAATAAAGAATACTATTTGAATTTTGACCAATCACTCAACAAATACCATCCAGCAACCAGCATATTCACCAGATGTGGGTAGTGCTGACTTTTTTCTTTTTCCTAAACTCAAATTACCACTTTGTGGCACCCGTCTTCAATCGATAGAAGACGTAAAGAAGAATTCGCGGCGAGAACTGAACCTAATTCCGGAAGCAGCGTTTAAAAAATGTTTTGATGAATGGATTATTCGTTGGCGCAAGTATATCGTTTCTAAAGGAGCATACTTTGAAGTTGATAAAATAAATTTGCATGAATAACAGACGTTTTGTGTATTATTGATCTTTTCCCGCTAGTTTCTTGACAGAAGAGAGTAGTATAGTGAAACTGATCATAATTGGTCTTAAGTGTTTAACTCGCTTTTATTAGGTATACGTGTCGCGAACTATGTACCTACATAATCTGTACATAAAATAAAACTGTAGAGAGATCAATTCTGTTCATATATTTTCAAAATAAGTATCAGGGGGTGATTAGGGATCGATATTGATGCCAAAATTACTATCAGTAAAATTTTTGTCTCTCTGTATGTTCACTCATCCCGCACAAACTACTGGTCCGATTACGATGAAACTTGATATGATTATACTTTCATATCCGGGGCACAACCCTGGGTAATTTTTATCCCGAAAAATTATACATAATATATACAAAAAAAACTTAAATATGAGGGTCAATCCCTAGACATACTGTACCAAACGCAAATATAAGTTTGTCGAATGTCGAATTGCCCGCAGTGGAATTTACGCTGTAACTGTAGGGCCGATGGTTGGAATTAGCTTGAACCGATATTATAAATGTGAACATATGTAAGTTTGTGTGTTTGTTACTCAGTTACATCACAACGGCTGAAGGGACCGGGATGAAATTTGGAACAGAGGTAGATTATGGTCTGATGTATCTACTTATAACCTCTGAGAACGCGGGCAAAGCCGCTGGCAGAAGCTAGTGAAATGTAAGAATCTGAGTTGCACGCATTACATCATCATGAGACAATTATAAAAGTATAGTCAAAGTTAAAGCATTTATTTCAATTAAACCATAGTTTGGTACTTTTGAAACGTCAACAAATACAAAATAAATAATAGTCTGTCAGTCAGTCCGTCAGTGAAACTAGGTGAAGCTAGGTGCTCATTCCAAAAAGTAGATTCGAATGGAGAAGAACGAGCAAGAAACTCCATTCGTTACTCTTTTTAAAAAAGTATGTTCTACAATGTCTCTGATACATATTTCAATACTGTACGCATATGTAAGAACAATGCAAAGACACGCTTGATGCATTATACTAATAACTTACTAAAAATAAAAATCTTAAAGTCCAACATGGTGCTCACATATGCATACTGACAATCCATAGAATTATTGCTTCTATACAAGAAAAGGAAACTCTTTGTTTCAATAAAGAAATGCTCGATGCCATAAGGAAACTAGATTGTCTACATTAGAATTAAAGTGTTAAATTATGTATTAAATTACCTACTATTGGAATTTAGCTACTGACTACATATGAGTATTGTCCAGTG